TTATTTATTACATTTATTTATTGTGTGTGTGTGTGTGTGGCCAGCTCAGCCCACCAGGGGGCGGGGCTGGCTGGCATGTGGTGCTGGGGGATCGAACCACGGTCCCTGTGCTTTGACAAGCTTGTTTCAAGTAGGTGCTTTAGACCACTGAGCCATCTCTCCAGCCCCTAATCCTTTATCTTAATGCCATTCCCTTTTCATTTCTAATTTTGGTAACTTGTATTCATTCTTTTTTATGTAATATTGCTAAGGATTTATCAATTTTGTGGATGATTTCAAAAAACTAACTTTTTCTTTGAATTTTCTGGGTGCTTTGTTTCTTTAATATTGTAGGAGCTGGCTGCAGTGGTATACGCCTGTGATGCCAGAACTCTGGGGGGCTGAAATAGGCACATTACATGTTGAATGTGCTTGGCAATTCATCAATTTAGCAAAACCCAATCTCAAAATAAAATATTAAAAGAGCAGGTTGAGGGCCAGCCAGATAGCTTACTGGACTAAAACAGCTGTTTAGGAAGGCACAGGGACTGGGGTTGGATCCCTGGAATGCCCCCAGGGTTCACTGAGATGACAGTTGAGATAGGCATGGTGGCATGCATCTGTAGTCCCAGTGCTTGAGAAGCTGAAAACAGGATGATCACTATGAGTCTGATCTGTATAGTGAGGCCCTATAGAGCCTGTACCAAATACATAAAAAAACAGGCTGAGTATATAGCTTAGTGTGAAAGCCCTGAGTTAAATTTCCAGCACAACGCTCTTCCCCTACTATAGACTTGTTTTGGCTTTTTTTGAAGTTTTTCTACACCCTTAGCTCGGTGGTTTTAGATCTTTTGTACTAGCTAATATAAGCATTTAAGATTCTAAATTTCCTATAAAGCACTGTTTTAGCTACACCTTTTAGATTTTGCTTAGTTACATTTTTCTTTTTTTGTTTGTTTTTAAGTTTTTTTCTGGTGCTGGGATGGAAACTGGGCCCTTGCATATGCACTGTACCACTGAACTGTAGATATATATACCCCAGCAATATGTTGCATTTTTCATTTGCTTCAGTTCAAAATATCTTGTGATTTTTTGTTAACTATGAATTATTTAAAAAATAAAATGTTTCATTTTATTTGTTATCTTTATTATATGTTTGCAGTGCATAGTGATTATATTCATTATGAGTAAGTTAGTATATATACATCTTTTTTATGCCCTCCTGTTTTATTTGTATTAGAGATTTTTATAGCTTCTTTATTACTACTAGTTTCTAATGCATTTGCTTCATGGTGTGAGAACATACTCTGGTTAAGTCTCTGAATTTCTTGAGACTTGTAATGTTGCATATAAACTACCTATATCTTGGTGAATCTTCTCTGTGTTCCTGAAAAGAATTTGTTCTATCATCTTGTGTATTTGATCTGTATCTGTCAAGTAGGTCAAAGTAGTTGATGAGGTTTTTCTAGTAACTATTTCCTTTGATTGGTTGATTGATTTCTTTCTTTCTTTAATTTAAATCTTAGAAACCTGGCATGGTGACCCATGCTTATAATCCCAGCACTTGGGAGGCTGAAAGCAGGACGACCACTATGAGTCCGCTATGTGTAATGAGACCCTGTAGACCCTGTACTAGACTCATTTAAAAAAAAAAAAAAAGAACATTTGTGTTATGTACATGTACCAACTCTACGTGATCAATATGTACTGCAAATTGTACTAATAAAAATAAAAAGAGAAGGGGCTGGGGAGATGGCTCAGTGGAATAAGCGCTTCCCTGGCAAGCTCAAGGGCGTGAGTTCAATCCCTGGTTCTGTCAAAAAATTAAAAAAAAATAAATTAAAAAACATAAAAATAAAAAGAGGTGGTAGGACGAATTAAAATGGTATAAAAATAAAAACTGGTTTTTAATAAAAGTGTTATAGCCAAGCATGGTACCACACACATCTATATCCTGGATCTCGCCAAGTTCCAGGTCAGCCTGCACTGGCGCCACCATGCCCAGTCTCTTAATTGTGTTTCATCGAGCTCCAGGGGTGGGGCTGGCATGGCATGCCAGGGTTCTTTATGTGGTCCAGTCTGGTATTGAATTGACCATGTAGCCCAGACTGGCCTGGAACTCACGGGGATCCTCCTTCCTCAGCCTCCTATGTTTTGGGATTATAGGCATGTACCACCATGCCTAACTATAACAGATTTTAATTCTTTGTATACTCTTTTTCTCTCTTCTTTGCCCTCTTTCCATCTCTTGTTTTATATTTGTGTGGTGGTTTTTTTTTTTTTTTTTTGAATTTTGGAATATTTTTATATATGTTCTAGTATATCTTAGCAATGAGCCCTAAGTCTAAACAAAATATATTTCATGTATACCTTATACAAATAGCGTAAAGCTAATTTTTATTTATTTATTTATTTTCCATTGCCAGGGATTAAACTCAGAATCTTGCTTACCAGGCAAGCACTTAATCTACTGTGCTATCTCCCGGGCCCCTTAAAGCTAATTTTATGCAGTATTATTATTATTATTATTATTATCATTAATTATTATTTGAGTACTGGGACTTGAACTCAGGTTGTTGTACTTGCCAGGCAAGCACTTGTTCTACTGAGCTATCTTCCCAGCGCCCCCCCCCTTTAATTTTTATGTCCAGGGTCCATGGCCTTCATACTGAAGTACATCCTAGGCTTTTTTGAAAATAATTTGAGGCAAGGTCTTACTGAATCTGTAAATTAAAAGAGGTAGAGTAGGGGAGAAGGGAATTAATAGAGGTATATTCTGGTGTATCCTAAATATCCTTGAAGTCTTAAGAATTTGTATGGTAGTTCTCTTAAGCTGGGTGTGGGAAATGCCTGTAATCCCAACACTTGGAAGGCTGAGACAGGAGGCTCTCTTTGAGTTTGAGGCCAGCCTGGGCTACATAGTGAGGTCAGCTTGAAGTATATAATGAGACCCTATCTCAAAAAACCAAATCAAACTAAACCTAAAAAGAGTATGGTAGTTCTCTTATTCATGACTATTCTGTATTTAAGATAGGTTTACTGAGTGGAAAGCCTATCCTCATTGGAGAGTTTATCTCATGGAGTTTTATTATTAATTATATGATACTACACCTTGGAAATATTCTTGGTCAATATGAGTAGTTTGGGCCCTCTTCCTTTCCTTTGTTATGGTTTGTGTCTAGTTGTCCCCCCAAAGCCTCATGCAGTCATGGGGTCAGGACTTCTAGAGTTTGTGTTAACTCATGATTCACTGGGATTATGTGTGATCCAAGGCTGGGATTATGGGTTTTAGTACTGCTGGGATTACCCATAGGTGGGTAA